GATCTGTCAGCATCACGGCGTTTTGTACCATTCAAGTTTTTACTGCCGCCACCTTCATATTGCTCTTCATCGTAGTATTACAGTTGAAGTTTTGTTCACTCGCAATTTCGACTGCTTTGTCTAACAGTATTCGCTCATTTTCTAAATCCTATTTTAATTGACTTTTTGTCGTGTTTCATTACTTCACTTATTGTACTGAATGATCACTTTTTCATCTTACTACCAGAGCGATAAGTGAAATTAAGACGAAAATAAGAGATCGACTGGTCTGAATAAGTCAGTGTTTGCTTATCCAGCGCTCCTACTTATTTGTGCTTATTAAGTCATTTAAGCACATCAAGTAAATGTGAGAATTTCCTGATGCTACAGGACGAGGACGAACAGGCTTTGCCTTGATTCCTCCCCGCACTTGGGCTTCAAGAGCCTCCATAGTATCCTCAATACCAGCAATTCGTTCAGCGGCTTTCTGAATCCGCACGCTCTTCTCTTCAGGGCTTTCAGTCGCATGTGGGTCGTCAGTGACCTTCGAGCTCTTGGTACGTGATTTTCTCTTTCCATTCTGGAGTCGCTCCTCAGCTTCGGCCTCTAAAACAGGCCTGCCAGGATGAGCGTTTGCATTCGCTGGACGAGTTCGACGGGCGGACACTTCTTGCGGGGCTTTGGGTGCCATGGTTGACTATTGGAGTTGATGAGAGGAGTAGACAAGGTAGAGCAAATAACTGGGGCGCGAAAATTTACAAGGTACTGGTCCCTCTTACGTTCTTGAACTTCCGCAGGCATCGGCTCAATTTTCGACGGTACTACCCTGCCTCTAGTCCTAATTAAGTTACTGTAAGAGAAAGGTTCGCATTCAGTCCTCCACTAGCTTTCTTTCTTCATTCTGTACTCTAGCATGCCGCCCTGCTCTACTCAGTACACTCGAAGGAAACATATTTCATATCAAATTCCTTGTGGCCGTCCTGGATGTAATAAGTACTTCAAATCTCTCAGCGGACGCACAAGGCACCGCACTGCAATGCACCCAATTCTGAGCAGTGCAAATACAAAGGGAGCGGGGTCGCAGGACATGGACATTGATGGTGAGTCTGGCATCCATTTCACTCAGTAATTAGGTTCAAATCACTCATCTCTGGTGCCGCCAGCACAAGAAGAAGATTATGATGTGAATGCTGGTGAGTCCCATCAGTGATACCCAACCCACAACAGTTCTAATGCTACTTATTAAAGATGCACCGCGCCTTTCATCTCCACCACCACCAGGGCAAGTTGACGGTGATATTGGTGGTGAGTCTCAGTCTTGATATGTCAGCGTGTTTTATCTGACAGCGCCTTCTGAAGACGCCTGCCATTCATCTGTACCACCAGCTCCTGACGTAGACGCCGAATTCTATGGCACGGGCAAGAACTTGTACCGCAACTATCACGCTGGTTTGAACAGTGAGCACACTTTATTCTTATAGCTCATCTAATGCTAATGAAGCCCCAGCTCAACCATGTGATGCAAATGGCCTTTTTTTACCGCCTGGTACTCCACCACAGCCTCTCACAGAACAGTTACCTGATGACTGGTCACCATTCCGCAACCGTACTGAATTTGAGACGGCCGAATTCTTGTACAGCCGCGCACAAATGTCCGCGCCCAATATAAACACTCTCCTTGATCTCTGGGCTGCGTCACTCCTCAAACATGGCGATATGCCGCCTTTTGCGGATCATAAGGACCTCTACAAGACCATCGACAATATTCCGATTGGTGGCGTCAACTGGCAGTCCTTCAAAATTCAGTATTCCGGAGAGAAACCTGATATACCGGATGTGCCTTCGTGGATGAATCAACAATTCGATGTTTGGTATCGCGACCCTCGTGAAGTTGCACGCAACATCCTCGCTAACCCCGACTATGTAAATGATTTTGATTATCGCCCTTTCCGTGAATATTCAGTCAGTAAAGACGAACGCCGTTACCAAGACTTCATGTCAGGTGACTGGGCCTGGCAGCAAGCGGTATGTGTCTTCATATTGGATGTTACTTCCTTGTATTGAACATTCTTTCCAGGATATCATCGCTACTGACCCTGACGCGCTCGGTGCAACATTTGTACCCATAATACTTGGAAGCGACAAAACAACTGTATCTGTTGGCACTGGAAACAACGAATATTATCCATTGTACCTGTCTATTGGCAATGTACGCAACAATGTCCGTCGAGCGCATCGAGATGCGCTCTGTCTTGTTGGCTTTCTTGCCATTCCAAAGAGTAAGTCTTTGAAACCTTTTCATACTGTAACTAAACTCAGTCTTGCAGCTACCAACGAGCATAAGGAAACCGAAGAATTCCGTGACTTCCGACGCCAAATCTTCCATTCTTCAATTGCGAAGATACTCGAAACGTTCAAGAACCCTATGTTAAAGCCCGAGATCGCGCGTTTTGGTGATGGCCATTATCGACGCGTCGTTTATGGGCTAGGACCATATATTGCCGACTATGAAGAGCAAGTTCTACTCACATCCATTGTGAGGAATTGGTGTCCAAGGTTCGTCTCGCTAGCTCTTTGCTGTTCTCTTAATGTTGAATACTCTCAAAGATGTCTCGCTCCCCGTGGAAAACTGGACGACGAGGATGCGCTATGCCGATGCGAGGCACACAGAGAGGCCCTTTTCGAGGAAGACACGTCTGATGTCCTGCGGCGTGACTTTGGTATTGTGGGGTCTATTGTGGTATGATTTGTTCACTCGCTGCAGTGTTCACCTGACTTAGTATAAACATTTAGCCTTTTACTAACGACTTTCCTCGAGCCGACATTCATCAACTGATTGCCCCGGATATCCTTCACCAAATCATCAAAGGCTGCTTCAAGGACCATCTTGTGACATGGGTGGAGAAGTACCTCCATCATGTTCACGACAAAAGGGAGGCCAAACGTCGAATGGATGACATAGACCAACGACTCGCTGCCGCTACTCCCTTCACTGGTTTGCGACGTTTTCCACAGGGCCGTGGATTCAAACAATGGACCGGGGATGACTCTAAGGCACTCATGAAGGTACGTTTTGTTTTCTGATTGACATAAGATTTGTTGACTGATACAGTACTGTTCAAGATATATCTACCTGCGATAGAGGGTCACGTACCGACAGACGTTGTCCGCACGTTTCGCGCATTTTTAGAGTTCTGCTATCTCGTCCGAAGGAACGTCATCACGGAGGCCACAATCTCACAAATAGAAGATGCTCTACGCCGCTTTCACCACTATCGCTCAATATTTCTTCGGTTAGGTGTTGTCCCTACATTTTCGCTCCCACGTCAGCACTCGATGAAGCACTATCCTGACCTTATCCGTCTATTCGGAGCGCCAAATGGTCTATGTTCGTCGATGACGGAAAATAAGCACATTAAAGCTGTGAAGCAACCGTGGCGTCGGTCGAACAGATACAATGCGCTTGGACAGATGCTTGTGACGAATCAGCGACTCGACAAAATTGCCGCTTTGCGTGTAGACTTCATGAAACGCGGTATGCTCAATGGTACATGTCTTAGCGATGCTTCAGGTCAGTAAATCAAGACTCTGATATAATGCTTCGCTGATTTCAATTAGGTTGTCTCGATACTTCATGCAATAACCCTCCTGCCGAACCTTCCGATATCATTCCTGATACTGCCAAGCCCAATGCTGATATTGACGACAATGTTGACGAGGGTGAAATTGATAATGGGCCGACTGAAATCGAGGCCCATGTGCAGCTTGCACAAACAACCCGTACGTATTTTGATCCTTTCACTATATATCACTCACTCACATTGATATCAGAAGTAACGCGTGCTCGAACCGTAGCAGCGCTCACTATCGAGCTTTCTATTTCGAACTTACAAGATCTCATCGGTCACTTTCTCTTCAAACAACTTCACCCTCATGACCCTCGTGACCATGCCACCATCCCACTTGACAGTTTCCCTGTCTATGACGGGAAAATCTCTGTAGTCAATTCCGCATCATCAAGATTTTATGCGCCGAGTGACTTAAGTGGGATTGGAGGGATGCGAAGGGAACATATTCGATCCTGCCCTAAATGGAGGAATGCGCACGCTCGCTATGACTGCATGTTTATAAATGCGCAACCGGACCTTGAAGGAATGCGAGGGCTTCAAATAGCACGCACGCTATGCTTCTTCTCCTTCAGATACAAGTTTGTCTTGTACGAGTGTGCCATGGTTCATTGGTTTGATGTCATAGGTGATGCCCCTGATGAAGACACAGGCATGTGGGTAGTTCAGCCATCCTTTGATGGTCACTCTCCGAATATTTCGGTGATACACATTGACGCAATCTATCGCGCAGCTCATCTCCTTCCCGTTTATGGTGTTGATTTCATACCTCGTGCTATCAACTTTTCGAACTCTTTAGATAAATTCCGCACTTTCTATGTCAACAAATTCGCCGACCATCATGCGTTTGAAATCGCATTTTAATCTTGTACAGCTCAACTCCCCTCTCCCATATCTCCAACGACACATCCGGCACCAAATTTGTACTCCCTTCATTCGTCCCGGCGCTCAGCTCCCCTCTCCCATATCTCTGCATCCTCACGAATACGAGGATATCAACTCCATGGAGACCTCGTGCTGGGATCGTCTCATCCATGGCCCCTGGTGCACCAGGAGGCGCACCCATAGCAAAATCATCATTTGGCTCCAATGATACGAGACCGTCCTCCATGCCCACTGCCATTCCCCCGGTAGTTATTATTCTAACCTAGGTCCTGTATTCATAGTTGTCAATTAGGTTACAAAATATCTTATCGCACTTAATTTACTTTTACATCTTATTAGCAACATTTGTTTGAATCACGTCTGCAAAAAGTGGGTACCAGTAAAATAAGTGACATCAGAGCTTTCCTTTTTCTACTCAGCGAGATCAGTAATACAAATCAGTCATGTAAGTGCAAAAAGTGACTTGGAGATATTGCTGATGGTAGCGGTGAGTGTGGTTTTTTGCTGACTTCTCAGTCCACTAATGGCTGCCACGCTTTACTACCAAAGATGTGAGTCTGTTTGAAGTGTGTGCTACCTGAGACCGGTCACTGATCGGATTTGTCAGGCTGGATGATGTACACTATATGGGTTTTGACGGGTGTTGTGGTATTTGCGATGCTGTGGGGTGAGCTTTGCACTTGCGAGACCTCAGTGATATTGGAATGACTGAAACATGCAGCAAGTCATCATCATCACTCGGTTGCATGCCATGTATCAACGATCCAGAAAGATCCTGATATTTCTCGTTGTCATCTTCCTGGCAATCAACACTTTTGTTGGAGTGACAGTCTTAATGTCAACGATGCATACTTCAGGAGGTACACTTAATTATGGACGAAAAAGAACGTGCATGGGGCTCATTGATGGATACCAGAGGAACTCATTCTCTCCGGAACCTACCAGTGCACGATTGGCTATTCAGGAGATCCCATAGTTCTGGATTCTGTTACTTGGATACTCTCCATTGTTTGGGAGGTCCTCACACTATGTCTCGCAGTCTGGATCGCAGTAAAACACTTCTGTGAACTACGATTACATGCGACAGGAGGGATTATCGGGGACTGTTTTACTGTGTTGATTAAAACTCATGTGGTTTACTTTGCGAGGTAAGTTCATATTATAATTATTGTCCTTTTTTCCGTCGAAGGGTCGGACTTGGTAGCTTCGTCATTGTTTCGTGTTTCTCCCTCATCCTTGATTTCTCTCCGACATCATTAACGGTATGTCAATCATTCACTTATCTCTACATGCGACCATGATCTATCATTTCTATAGAGCCACAATCCCCTAGAATATCAGACTTTGTTGGGCTTGTTGCAGATTTTGGAGGTCGTGCAGATGTTCGTGCTAGGACCACGGCTGATCCTTGACGTCCGGGAATATAATGCCAAACTTGTGGATGACTCCGATGCAGCAACCGGCATGACCTCAATCGCTTTCCAAGAGCGCGTGCATATATCGACTAGCAGTAGTGTGTAATGCTCAGTGAAGTTGACGAGAACCGTTGTCTAGTGCTCGCAGGGAGCACGGGAAATTTGTTTTTTGTTTCTATTCCAAGCCTCATTGCGGTGCTCAAGTAGTCATTCAGTGTCACAAAATAGATGTCAAGGTCCAAGGAGACATAGGTTTAGGCAATATTTTCGTCGTAGTATTTATTCGAATCATTTGCTATAGGTCTTGACATTGACAATGCTTCAACCAATGTCCTAGATATCTCTACTGTATCAACAAAGGAAATCAGCGTACAGAACGGAAAGCCGAGGAGCGAGAGGTGTTTATAGGCGATGTTGCCGGAACGTTAGATGCAAGTTTCTATTTTCTCCTGCTTCTCATCTTCGAGGACAACTCGTGACCCACCTCTCGTCGTATAGGAAGCACTAGAAAATATTGACTCTAGTAATATGGTGTGACCGTCTTGTAGCATATATAGGTATCGTGCTTTTTCAGGCTTCATGAGCGCACATACATGGATAGTAGTGCACGCGTGTAAGCCAGTTGGAGTGAGTCGAGAATGGGAGGCTCAACGTCGAAATTGAATAATGGCATGGTGTAGCAAATGAATGAGTTGTGAACGTCTGATACTGGATAGGCGGAGTGGTGTAACGGGACGGACTGGAAGGGGAACCAAGGCCAGACCTCCATAGCGGGAGGCTGCGGCTCTCTCTATCCAGGACTGACTACAACACAAACGCAGGGCTACTGACTACGGGCCAGGACTCCTAGCACACCCGACGACCTGCGCCAGACCACCCTGGTACAGTGGTGATTGCGGGCTTTGTTGATCATGCGGCAAGGCCCTCGACACCCTCCTCATGTACTTCAACATTGCTTCGGTTAATTTAAGTATTTTGAAAAGCGGAGGAGGCGCGTCTGGCAGGTGCCGGTGAAGGTGGGCCAAAGAGTCGGGCCCAGTGCGGGGTAGGATGGAAAATTCGGAACAGATAGAACAGCTGTTAATGTGGCTTTGTTGAGCTGCCAAAGCTTTTTGAGTGGTACGAGCGTGCTTCAGAGAGTTCAGACGACGCCTCGCCACCATGCGGAGTGCTGCTGAGAATATTGAACAGGGGAATCTGAATATATCCAGGGTACTAACATCTGAGTATCGCACAACAAATATAAAACGACTTGTCAGTGTGGTTCCAAAACTGAGATATTTGAGGGCACAAATGAAGGGAAGGTTCCATGATCTTTGAAGGGTGCTGTATTGCGAATTTTCATAAGAACATATGTGCATGGCCCGCCTGCAGCAATACTAGTGATAAGACAGGAATCAAAGCTCAAAGGTACAGACATAAAGTCGGTGCACAAAGAGGTCATTATGTGATGAGTCATCTATTTTGTTTCCGCTTCCTCCCGAACACCCTCAAACGTTCAACTACGCTCATATTCAAGACGATTGGCAAAGTGTGTATTACTTTACTAATGTCCAATTGCTGCACAATCCTTATTTCTCAGATGGAGCGGACTTTGCAACTGAACTTTTTCTGCTTCGTCAAGGATCAGTCTTTCTTGCGCCTGCAAAGGGTATAATGTACGATTGGCATATGAATACGCTCGTCCATATCTCGTAAATCAAACACAACTGACGATACCTGAATGTAGGCAGATAAATACGGCAAACAACCCCCCGAGTAATGCCAACGCGGCAGTCCTTCCCTCTCGTTCTATTCTGTCCGTCCCGTTGTTGTCCCACTGCTCGTCATGTGTGCTTCCGTAGCCATTATGTACTTCTCGAGTGCCCCCCGTTTTTCCTAGACTCCACCCATTCTTTCCTTTATCTGTGTTTTGGCCCGTCGCGTTCACATTTTGCTCTCGCAAGAGCTCCCTCAACTCCGCCAGCTTCCCTTCCTCCCGGATGATGACGGCCGCACCAAGTTTCGCCTTGATCAGCTCTTTAACAGCCAGCTTGGACTGCTCATATTGCTCGTCGTGCCGGTGCCCAGGACCGTCCCTGAGGGGTTTCCCTCTTGTAGTGGTGATGCAGGCGTGCCCATCGAACGTCAGCCCATGCCTCTTAAACTCAGCTTCGTTCTCCTTCCACCACCCCTCCATCGGATCCTTGTCCTCCAGACCCGTGACGATGAGCACTATAGGCACCTTCTTGCCTCCGACAATGCTATAAAATGCATCGTAATTGATTCCTAGAGCCTCACTTACGCGCGCGGCGTTGACACAAAACAGAAGGAGGTTGAGGCCGCTATGAATGTTTTGTATCAACCCCTGCAGGTTCCTCGTAGCACCCTCGGACAGCGTATCGTGATGTTCTCCCTTCTGCAGCCCCACCGAGTCCCACACCACTACCTCCCGTCCGCCCACATCGACAGCGTACCCCCTACTTGCAAACGGTGCGAGGTCTGGGTTGGATGGAGATGATACATCCCGGCCGACAAGCATGTTGATGAGTGAGCTTTTTCCCGCTCCTCGCTCGCCGAAGAGCACGACATTGGGGCGGGAGGGTTGTGGGGGGAGCCGGCCGCGCGTGCGTGTGTTCGCGGGCTCTGGCTCGCTTCTCTCTTTTGCAACACCTGTCAGGCGCGCCCAGAAGCCTGGTTTGGGTTGGGACTCTGTGCGATTGTCTACCATGACGATGTCATCTGAGTCGGCAGGCGAGTGCTGGCGGTGACTAAATGCGTCGTGCCCGCGGCTTGGGCCCGCAGATCCGCGCACCGACTGAGGGGGCGTGAAGAGAGGAGAACGCTCATTGTATTGTGGGGCTTGCTGGACTTCAGCGGGGGTGCGTTGTCTGTTGCGGTCTTCTGCGCCGGGTGGGCGCTGTCTCATGCGGTCGCGGTCATCTACTACTGGGTTCGGGCTCCGCCTGGCGCGGTCCTCAGAGAGGAACTCGGCTTGTGCACGTTGTTTTCCGCGGTCATCTACTGCTGGGTTCGGGCTCCGCCTGGCGCGGTCCTCAGAGAGGAGCTCTGCTTGTGCACGTTGTTTTCCGCGGTCATCTACTGGGTTTGGGCTCAGCCTGGTGCGGTCCTCAGAGAGGAGCTCTGCTGGTGCACGTTGTTTACCCTTGTCTTCTGCACCGGCTTGGCGCTGCCTCGAGCGGCTGTACTCGCGGTCTTCTGGAGTGAGCGCGGCCGGTGAAAGCTGTCTGCTGGTATCATCGGGCCGTGAGGAAACATCTTTTGGTGGGACATCTGTGGGATGATGGTCTGTGTCAGCGGTCTTTCATCACTGATTTCTGGGTTGCTCGCACTCGGTGATGGTTGCTGCTGAGGTTGCTGTTGCTGCGGTTCAACCACCTGAGGCGGTGCGGTAGGGTCTGAGGGTGCGTCTTCTCGCCTTTCGGGATTGGCGAATCTTTTCATGTGCTGGGAATGGGAATCGACGGCTATAGATTCAAAATTCATGGGCGTTGGGGGCGAAAGATCATGGTATATGTACAATGTGCCACGTGGGCGTGCGCATGTTGTTCACGAGCCTAGGCGCGTGCGTGTTGGATGCGTTTTGTGGTTCTCGTGATGTACTTGTCAGCCTCACACGGGAGTGCCTTTGTCCGGCATCTAACAAGGTGCAGGGTCTATTCAAGCATTAAGTGCTGTGCACATCTATTCATGTCCGTCAATATCATGGTAGAATTAATTCTGTGATGTAGTGCTGTGGTTTTCTCTGGTATAACATGCATGCATGGCTAAGTGCTGACGGTTTATATTGTGCGGCTACGATACGCAGGATATCACGTTGAATGGAAGTGCCACCATGTAGCCATATGTCAAATCACCCTCATACTCGTGTTGTGTTACCTTGCGTTTCGTGATATCGAAGCTGCAAGGGAGACGATGCAATGGGGTGTTACATATTCATGTATATTTGAGTTCATCTTCATTTAGATGTGCGCTAATGATCCCCGTCACATGTTGCCCCATGCATCGTGCAATACCATCAGGACAGGTAAGTTGATTCACCTCGTGTTTGCCAGGGCTCAACGCAGTGTGCGCAGGATTTTCAAGGTGGCAGAAGTACATTTACCTGTGCGTATTCTTTGCCATGTTGCTAATGAGGATCTTGAATCATATCTATACCACGAAATTTTAAGAAAAAAATACTGCAGCAAAGGTAGCAATACGACTCGTACGAGCAACGTAACATGTGCACCGATCACTCCGTCAATAAAGTACCAATATCTACTACCCAGGGCCCAGGCCTTACAACTCCCCATTCCTACCCCAGTTTGGGCATTCCTGCGCGCGCACTGTTCCCGCAATAAACCCCGGATCGAACTTCCACTATCGACCAGCTTCACATCGAAGTACGCACATCCACATGGCGCGCACTGGTTATCGATCCTCCGATACGGCATCCAGTCGAGTAAATGGGCGTCTCGTTCCGCGCACGTACGTCGTGGCGAACTCTGCCGCATTAAGTTCAAGTAGATTCTTGCCCCTTTGGCATGTCTTCGGGGCTGCCATACACCGTGCTCGTAAACACACAGAACACGGTGACCGCGTCCGTTGTTAAAAACTCAGGCATTGTCCAATCCATTAGTACTGGATCATCCACGTGCGTGCGCATGAAGCCCGCCTTCCGGCCGGCTACGAGTACAAAATCTGCTATGTTGCGATTTCGATCTTAACGACTACAAGCACGCGCGATGAATCGTGCGGTGACGTGATTCATCAAGACTGTGGTGTGGAATTGTAGGATGGGCGTAATTGTGCAGCTCCAGTGAATGAACACGAACACCAAGCAGGTGCGAATAGTCGAAGACTCGCAAAGAAGAAAAGAGACTAACTAGACAAAGTTAAAGCTCGTCGGACCATAAATTGTTACATGTTGTGCGACATATTATCCATCTGATCAGTGATCACCCAACCTACCTTGCGCTTCGAAGCAATCCTTCAGTCCAGAACTGGGAGCGGCCGCCACCTCCAATGTATGGTCAGCTACGTTTCACTTGATCGCAGGACGACTCGCCTTTGGATGAGACCGTTAATGTACGGAATGTCTTCCTCTATGCAATCGACAACCCTTGTTTTCTCGAACATGTTTTATCGCCAGCAGGTTCCCGGTCACGTCTACATATGTTGTTACCCGCAATACCTGTGAGTTCACATATCAAGGCGTTGGGCGGACTGTGCACCTTAGGATGCTCCCTGAAGAATGTGTACCAATAATTGCCAGTTTGCACAGGAATCGGACTCTCAGGGCATACATTATAAATTATACGTCTTCCAAAACTGTGCAGGCAACGAGGTAAACCAGTCTAGGCCGAGCTAGTCCACCTAGTGCATAACTTTAAGATCACTGGGATGGTTTAATCTACACCCGGCATCGCGCAAGGGCACTGTGCCCTGCACCCACGTTGGTGGCACACAGCACAATACGTTACTTTCCTTGGTATGTCTACAGGTCCTCGACGTTGGATTCATATTTTGAGTCTGTCAGCCAGATTGCTCATGAACTCGTTGCCCTGGATGAGACCCTCCTAGTTGCAAACGCTTCCGCTGTCTTGTGGTATGGGTCGTCCGATAGTGTCACACGGGTCCGGTTACCAATCAACTATAACGATAGAGGTCTGTAGATCTTGAACTTCAGTGCGCGAATTCTATATGTCGTAGTTATTGTAATGGTGCAACAAACGTTGCCTATCATACTTGTCGGCACCATCTTTCATATTCCAATCTCGCATGTAATCTTGAGACGATCTCCATATAATCGGGCTCGTCATCGGGTGTCAAGTGGCCGTGTCGGACAAAGAAGTCGACGAGGACTGTGGCGTCAATGATTTAATGAAGATTTTGTAGGCCATTTGTATTAGCATTTACCGGCAGCGCAATTGGGCTTGAAGATTCCCTGCCTCAACTTTGATTTTACTTCATCCAGCGATAGCAACTATTCTATAAGATCGTTTGGCATGGTCAAGACACACAGAGATATACGTACATCAAAAGACTCCACCTCGCCGTCTAATGGACGGGGCTGGAACGGAGTATCATGTGGTACCCCAAGATCGTAAACGTATCTAGAGAGCGTGTTGTTAAGATCCCCGCGCACAGAATCAGACAGCACTTACTTGATCTCTGGTTGCAAGAAGTGCATTCTGTTTCTGCAATCATCTCATGGTTATACTTTGTAATTCACCCCAAAGCCTTACAGAGCCATACCTGAAGAAATAGCTGATTGCTCCGACGGGTTTCGCATGTTTCCTCACAATGTCTGCTTCCATACTGGCCTCCTCCTCACACTCCTTGACGAGGCTCTCGAAAACAGGCATGCCACTGGGTATCCCGCCAGCAACACTATTATCCAACCAGCTCGGCCACCTGACGTGGCCATTCAGCTATGTACTTTATGAATATAAACCAATCAAACCCACGTTTGCTTCGTCCTCGCCCGCGTCGGAACCCAGATCTTCACTTGTGGGCTGCTAGCTATCCCTTGATAGATAGTCATATGTACCCCATAGGTTATGACACCAAAAAGAGCACACGCAGCACGCTCCATCTGAAAGGCGTAGTTTCCTTCTCCCTCATCGGAATCATTCTCAGGATAGTACTCATGCACTCCAAAGGGATTCCGGTACACAGGGAACATCTCGTTCCGCCATTTTCGGGGCCCGATGCTCGCAGGGAACGCACCAGTATCGCGCCAGCGCTCACAGAGCTCTTTCAGCACTGCAGTGCGCTTTCTCGGGGTATTGACTGACGCATCAAAGCTGACACAGTACCCGGCCTGAGGTTCTGGAATGACCCATGTCCCAGGTTTCTCCTTTCGAAGGAGATCTACTATGTCAAGCCTCAAGAGCCCAACAGCAGGACTTCCTGGAGATTGCGATAGTGTCCAGGGCACGAATGAGTCTGTGTCGGAAGGCTTTTGAAAGACATCACTAGAGCCAAAGTTAGGTGGTAGGCGAAAATTGTCGCATATCTTGACGAGTTCAAGATAAGAAAGTGGTGAGGATACGGGAGATGGGGGGTCGTTAGACATTCCAAACTCCTGATTCACGGAAGTTGTAGTGCCCTATTAATTAATTCAACCTTATATACATACATACAGGAAGATCGCAGCGGGGGTGGTTGATGTAGACGGCGGGTGGTTGACGTAGATGGCGGGTAGCTGACGTAGACGGCGGGGGTGGCTGATGGGATGATGTCAGAACAGACAACAAAATACACCCAGACATGTTCCCCAGACTCAATTGGGGCGGAGCCTGCGCAGACTTAACACAGACCGGCCATTTCCTATTGCAAGGTGGCGCTCAGGTGGAGCACGCACGTGGGGTAGACACGAATTGTTTCCGCAGGATCAAACGCTCAGTGTGCTTATATATGTTAATTAGATGTAGTGTAAAGGACATTCTGTATCTACAAAGTTTCACCACGTAGCTTACTGCAAACCAGGATAGATGTTCTCAATTTGGATACAGCCAGTAGTCGCATCCCCAGCAGGCCGACAGCATTAACCACATGCTACTTGGGGGTACCACACCCCCGCATATCTTGATAGCACACATCGATGAATCCAGCCACGTTGGGATGATTCAGCGTGCTCCAAGCTTTTGCCTCTCGTAAAATTTTCCGAAGGCAAACTAAGTAAAAAGGATGACCCATGAATAAACAATCTACGTACCCGTATAGTTTTCCTCGCAAGACGCATGTCTGACAGAAGTGATGGTCTCAAGATCTTCACAGCTACCTACATCGATAAGTGAATGTGAATGCGTTATACGTCACCAGTGACAGAGTAGCACGTACGGTATTACTATGACCTTGCGGGGTGTAGATTCCCTTCCGAACGTCTGCGAAGTTTCCACTGCCGGATGCGCGATTGTCAGTCGTCACAACCCTTCCCGTCAGCTCAGGTACATGGATATTTGCGAGATTAAAAGCCATTGGAGGATGGTATGGGTGAATACAAAAATGAGTATTGGTGGATAGATTTCAAGTTGGGATGGATAGCAGACAGGAAGCAGAATCTAGATGATGAGTGCCATATTGCCTGAGCAGGTCCAGCTTAAGTATGTTTCCCGGACAAGGTAAGAGTCCTCGTGCCCTGAGTGGGGAAAATGACCATAGTGACGAAGTTGTTGTACATGGTAGACAATGCACGTCAAAGCTAGCTTCAAGTTCAAGGATCGCCGCATTGGGTTCATCCTGAGTTAGATATCGAGTAAGAGATGAGTCAAGATTCAGACGATTTTTTGAGGTACTGTGGGCCCAGTTGATGATCAGTTACTCGTGTTGATGGAGACGTTGTACATAGTACAATGGTAGTCAGAGTACTTGCTAGTGAAGCGTGTGGCTGCATTACGAAACAAGTCATGTGAAAACCGCGAGCCACTTTGAGCACCCACCCCTATTAAGATTCAAACACGTCCTCCAACAAGCCGCATCATACTGACGTTGTGGTTCCATTGCACTTTTTGCACCTCACGAGACGGGCGGCTTAGCTTCCCCATCCGACCAATGGCAAAGCTGCTGTTGGGTAATATCAAGTTTCTACCGATGTCATTCCGCTCTGCCTTAGCAATCGCCGACCTGTACCACAGAGAGAATATGAATATGATGATTTGTCCATGTCTCGTGAATTGGGCTGTCAGCCTCCTTGTAATCGTTAATGTGTACATGGAAGGAGAGAATATCCCACTTTTCCAATTAATCACGCTGGATTTCCTCATGCAGCCTACCAAACACATACGTGTAACAGTGCATTATGCAGATACATTAATAATACATCAAGAGAAGGTATAAAAGACCCTATGTGTTGTTTTCTCATGGTACGATCACCGATATCGTAGGTATTGTGGCAACATATCACTAAGCGCAGACCATGCCCCATCCTTTCCACTCTGTTCTACCCTCCTGGATATCAAGAATCTTTTTCCGTATTGCCGTGCCGACTGGACCCATCCCATCTCCAGGAATTACGATGTCCTTACCCTCATACCCAATTCTATCGCAATGTCCAACAATGGCTGCTGTGCCTATGGCTAATGCTTCAAGCAGTTTGCCCTCGGACGACCATTTGGTGAGGTCACTCATGGTATACACCATTTCTTGTGGGTGTAAGCGCATCGAAATTTCTTTGTGGAATTCTGGATCGCTCGCAAGGGCAAGACATGATGCTCTAGTCACTCCAGGTAGAATAGTACCATCCAGAGGGGCGGTGATAAGGTCCACGCCTTCAACCAATGAGTTGGTTTATATACAAAACCATGTCCAATTCAAACTCACCGTCCTCATCATCCCTCTTGACTACAACGAAGAAGTTCATCGCTCCAGCCTCTGTGACTCTTCTGTCATCACCGAACAGCCAAAGGATTTGATCGTATCCTTTCTCTGCAGCAGTGCGTTGGGGTAGGAAGCCGGGTGAGTAGTTGCCAGCAACTTTGTCTCCTCCAGTTCCACCCGGCCACGCACGCACATTTTCACTGACTGCAAGAAGAGAAATAGGCTTCGCAAAGTATGGCCCAGTTGGCGATACAATAATGTAAAGCATCGCATGGTCAGACGCCGTCAGTCCCAAACCTACATGCCAATCAGGTGAATACTTATACATCATCAACCTATTCCACGAACCTGGACGGGTTCCAATGACGGTAGGACGGATATACAAACTGTATCCCGATTCTTTGGGTATCCAGCGCCTATCAAGATTCACCAGACACTTTATGAGTTCTAAAACAGCATCCCCGTCGATGGTCTGCATGGGGCAACAAAGTCAGAGACACTCCTTGCATGAACGTCATGGTACTCACGGGAAGAGCTAGACGTGCACAAGACTTCTCCAGTCGACGCATGTTCATATCTGGGCGGAACAAGCGTATCTTATCGTCAGGCCCAAGATAAGCCTTCATACCCTCAAAGATATTTCCGCCGTACTGAAAGCAGGAGCATTGAGGATCAAGTGTAATGGGCCCATAGGGCTTGAGCTCAGGCGGGGACCACCCTTTTTCAGGGTCGTGAGTGGCAACAACCATGTGGTCCGAGAATGTCTGGTGTCATTATCGTTGAGCGACATGAATATGGTTGTCAGGAATACTTGCTCACCTGGCCGAAAAGTAATGTCTCGATGGGCTGCAGGGGCTTCAATGTCTGTGCGAGCGTGATCTTAAGCTTAGATGCCTGCAATAGCGTTGGAGTTACACATGACTACGTTCAGCAGGCGACGCACTCACATCGAGTGCAGCAGGGCTTCCCGGATTGGGAGAGTCTCCCGTTTGGCCTGGGGCTGGAGAAGTGACGCTGTTTCTGTCACCCATAGCTATTATGACCAAAGGGAAAATATGCGAGATCAGTTAGACCCATATGTTTATATAAGTACGCTCACAACTGACTAGGAAGATATGACAAGAATAATGACTCGATCAACGTCGCTTCCGAGTCAGAAGTCTCGAGCTTATCAATGGATCGGATCGGGTCGGGTCGGCTACCCTTCCAAATGGAAATCGTCCATGCATTACGACACAATGCAATGCAAGACCCCCTGCTACTCTCCAGTTGATGATCAGTTACTTGTGTTGATGGAGACATTGTACAATGGTAATCAGAGTACGCGTGTGATCACGGGACAAGTCACGTGAAAACCGCCACTTTGTGTGTCCTTGGAAGGAGGGAGAGGTGCTTGTTACGGGGACTGTGCAGTGTGAATGATGGCCAGTTGCGGATGGTGTTTTGAAATGAGATCAAGCCGGACGATGAGACTGTGGGGAAGCATGTTGAGAAAGGTGAGTTTGGTAGTGTGGGATACATCGTGCTGACTTTGTTTTGGACAGAATTCTTTGATTCGTGGCATTCGCTGAAGGTGCCAAATGATGTTGATTTGTTGAAGGCGCTGCATACTGGTACGTATTTTGAAGTATCTCCTCTTGTTTGGTATCTGACAGGTGCGATACAGAGGGGCTTCAGGCTACTGCACGATTCCGAAGGCGCCGTCAAACGTGAAGAAGGGAAAGTGCTTGGCACTGCGACAGAGACAAGCGAAGATCACGAACACGCATTTGAAGGGAAAGATTGACCTTTCACGAGATCATGAGAAGAAATGATCTGAGGATGTGCGTTTGTATGTTTCTGCACATCTTTACCGTGTTATGGGCGTACCTTTCGCTCGAGGCAGTGTCCAACATTTTTATTGGATACAGTTATCAGTTGTATTGCGAAGCGGCAGCTGCAAATGTGTGTTCTAAAACCAAAATAGGTTATTTCTTCGCAACGACTGTAGCTATATCAGCTATGCTTCTTCCCGCAGCCACATGATGCAGCTCTCCCTTTGAGGAATAACCGAGGCGGTCGTATTTCCATCCCAACACGTTTATAATTGGGTAAACTATTGTCCTTTTGTAGAAAGCGCAGTGTTTTCACTAGTGACTGGATTCATTCATTCGGTGAAATGACAGGTTCGAGGTAGGATCAAACGTTGCGTCCTTAAATATATTAAATAAGAAATAAGGAAGCAAGCCGATACTGACGTTGTGGTTCCTTCGCGTATCAGATAAGGGGAGGATACTGTCGGAGCTGTTGTCAACAGTAATAACCGTGTCCGAGGGTCCCAATGCAGTGATCTCTGGTGATACTTTGCAGTGCCCTGAACGACGACGTGCTTACTGGCAGCAGGCAAGGGAGTTTCAGTGAAACGCAGGGATAGTAACAGCGATCAAGCATGTTCTGTTGAGGGCCGGCGACATATCGAGAGACATCCATGTCAAACCCATTTTCCTGCTCGACTGAAAAAGTACTGCGCGAAACTTTACCTGCTATGATGACCGTCAGAAAAGCGCGGGCGCTATCAGGAAGAGGTTGTAGGTCCTATATACATAGATGAATGAGCAAGAAATGAGAATGAAGAAAAGTCACATATTTACCTTCATCGTCAATGAAGTTGTCCGCGCATCCAATAGTGTCTATAGAGTTGTGGTAGTGTTTCTGACGCTGTACAGAATGAGGATTCAGTCCGTGTCACGTTGTCGAAGTGCGAGGATAGTCTGGGATGCTCACTGAAGCACATGGTTGCTATGCATGATTGCACTCGGCAAAATGAGGTTTGACTCGGAATTGTACATGCTCGAGCTCTACGTTATCATTCTGGAATTAAAATTAAAATTTTCAACTGAAGATATCTCCCACCTTTTAAAAATGACTCGGAGCCGCACTCGAGTGCGTGACGGAGATGTTTAGTGAATTTGAAGATGCCAACATCCGATGGTCAGCTGGGTGCCACGAATTCATATCCCATTCCATAGCTAGACCGTTTGGTTACGCGACTGTTTTCCTCTTCATAATCGTGTTATATACCGCGTTAATATTGTCGTTGTTGTCGTCCTCGCCGAGGTGGTAAAGTTAATTAACTTTTCTGCTGTCGGAGTGTGAAATTGGAGTTGTCTCTCGAAACGCGACTGGGTGTCTCAGCAGCTAAGTACATACCAGCTCACGCGCTCGCGCCTCGTTCTTGTGGAACGTGGCAGATCAAGGTAATGAAACCCTTCTACAACATATGCATATCTTTCATCCAAAAAATGGGTACTGACAATGCTCTTGGTCAGGTTTACTACACAAGCCACCGGAAAGCTATCCCGAGACGCTTGACAGGTGCTGCTACCGGGTTTTGGAAAGGAATAGGCTTTTCAACACCAAGGTTTTCAAATTCTTCATCTGCTTCTGTCTCGTCTATTGAACCGCTGGATCGTCCTGAATCACCCGCCATGTCCACTCCAGATGTCCCCACAACCCCTCTGACGAATTCAAACGGTGCCCTCCCACACGACAGCCCTGTAGATACACCTCCTCCCTTTGACACCTCACTCTTTAGGACATATCTCGTGTCGCTCTTGCCACCGGTACTTGGCGCTCTACCCGAGGACTTTGTAAGCATGTTTGATGAAGAATTCGACGAGAGAGTCACTCGCTTTGCGGCAGAGGGCGGAGGCGTGATTTACGTGGTGAAAACGAGGGACGAAGCAGAGGGTGAGCTTTTGCATCCAGTTTAAAAACTAACCTGACGTGTACTAGAGGACGCGCCGCAGACTTATTCATACCACCTAACTTCGCATCTGACTTATTCTTCTACGAGTGTTACATCACTTGCACTCATCAAACGCGGTCCTACCCTGGATCCTCTGACACCTCTTGCCACGCAACTACATATCCTCAATTTGTTTGGAGGTGAAGAAACGCCGTACGAGAGTCTGCATGCCGTCGTGAGCTGTGGTGTTAAGCCCTGGTTTGATGCTTTTGTTGGAGCACGGGGTGGGGGCAAGGATGGGGATAGTAAAATGGGTATGTCTCAACTTTATTGCTTTGGCTTCACTCATTTGTGTTTATAGGGATACCCATGACCAAGAAGAAGTTTGCCGAGCTGGAATTGTCATTATTGCACCTTCAGCAGAACGTGGAAATACCTGAGACGCATTTGATCATTCATCCAGCCATCCAGCGCGCTGTAGAACAGGTCGGTTCCTCAGTGACATCAGTTTTCCGAAGGCTGAAGACGATCACATTAGGCTCATGCTTCAGGCGCACGTCCAAACATATCACACATACCTCAAAAGCTCCTAAACGAAAGTTCATTTCTCAACACTTTACACGGACACGTCAACATGTGGATCAAGGCTATTCAAGCAGTCACTAAGCTTTCGCGCGACGTTTCCTCTGGTACTGCTTCGCAAGAAATCAACTTTTGGCTGAGTCTTGAGCGGGCACTGGAGGGTATTGAGGCGCAGCTACGCAGCGATGAAGTGACCATGGTCATGGAATGTCTTCGAAACGCGAAGCGATATCTCGCAACAGTCAGTTTCATGACGGACACTGGCCTGAAATCTTCTACGGATCTTGGTGCGCGTTGTTTCTGGCATCGTCAGTTGGATGCTGACGAGTATCATCAGTGCACAAATACAACCAGCTAATGAAAGATTTCCCTCTCAACGAGCTGTTATCTGCGACAGATCTTGAAAAAATCCAAGAATCATTGGTACTCATCTTTGGACACATCAACCGCAAGCTCAAGCTCTCGCCCTACCCAATCCGTCGAGCACTACCCCTCGTTGAGGCAATTTCTCGTGATTTCAACGACCAGCTATTGCGCGTGCTGACGTCGCATAGGCTGTCGTACACTCCGTACGAGACCTTTGACCGCCTACTCGGACAGACCATGAACATCTTCCGGACGTGGGATGATCTTATCAAGGAGTTCACAAACGTCGCTCGCGAGGTTATGCGCAAACGTGGAGAGAAGTTTGTCCCCATCAAAGTTGTTGCTGCGCACGCGAAACTACAGGAGCGGACGAGGTATCTGCGTGACTGGAGGAAGCAGCACGAGCAGCTGGCGGTGATGACCGGGCCCACGAAGGGTTTGGGGAGCATGGCTAAGGAGGTGGGCGGAATGGACATGGAGGAAGAAGTGAAGGAGGCGTATGAGGTGGTGAAACGCATCGATGTTCTCGATGTTTCTGTTGGTGAGTATCTGACTTTGATATGTCGCTGTTGAAGTCACCTCACTCGTTTTGCAGAGGGCACGGAGATCTGGGTGGCTGCGGAGAACGCATACAACGAACGGGTCGCAAGAGTTGAGAACCAAATTATTGCACGGCTACGCGACAGGCTAGGCACGGCAAGAAATGCGAATGAAATGTTCAGAGTATTCTCTAAGTTCAATGCACTTTTCGTTCGCCCAAAGGTAGCTCATTTCGTGGGACAGTGTAACACATGTCTGAGCCCGTATCCCACAGATTCGTGGAGCTATCCAAGAGTATCAAACTCAACTCATTGACTCAGTAAAGGAGGATATCAAGCGCCTTCATGATAAGGTAGGCAGCATACTCTTGTATTGTTTCCGTTACTCATAATGACCATCAAGTTCAAAACGCAATATCGGTTATCTGAAGCTTATCACATGTCGCAAATGCGCGACCTCCCTCCAATAGCAGGTGCCATCATCTGGGCTCGACAAATTGAGCGACAGTTACTCACCTACATGAAACGAGTGGAGGATGTGCTTGGCAAGGGCTGGGAGCTCTATGCAGAGGGTCAGAAGCTTCAGTCAGAAAGCACCGCATTCAGGAAGAAGCTAGAGACACGGCCAGTGTATGAAGCCTGGATGCAGGACATCAACCGACGGGACATGGGTGTCAATGGCCGCCTCTTTGAGATCGTGAGATTACGGGGAGGAGGGTTCCAACTAGCAGTAAACTTCGACCCCCAGATAATCACACTTTTCAAGGAGGTTCGTAATTTGTTATGGCTAAACTTCCAGGTCCCACACGCGATCACGAACATGGCGAAGGATGCGAAGCGGGTATATCCTCATGCTGTCAGTCTTATGGAGACTGTCAGAACCTATGGGCAGACTCTGGATCTGGTGGAGAATAACATGGGCATAGAGTGGTTGGTTGCTGAATATCGGAATGAGGCTCAGCGGATGGTTGCCAAAGGTGATCAGATTCGAACCGTTGACACATCGGCGCCCTGACGCTTTTTGTCCAGGTATGAACATCAAGTGGGATTACTTTGTCAACCAGTACGATACCGCGCGGTACGTGAGCAGTGCCGATGGACGCGAGAACCGACATATCCAATTCGTGCGGGAGTTTGCGAGTGTTGTGTCTATCCTACAAGATAAGACCAACAACGTCATTGACCTTTATCGCAACATTCTTCGAGCGGTCGAGGATCTCGCAACATGCCCTTATACTAGCGAGGCATTTTCAGATCTTCTGGGCAAGATTCAAGCTGCTGTGGGTTCCTCTTCATCGTTATAGTTTATGTGCTAAATACATGCAGATTGATCGCCTGAATTTGGAAGGATACGCTAATCTTGGACACTGGGTGGCTGACCTCGACAAGCGGATAGAAGGGATCTTGCTTCAGCGTTTGGGTTACATCATCCAAGTGTGGTGTTCCGAGTTTGATCGGACAGATGATGTTGATGCTCGCCGCGATCCACTGCCTTTGCGTGACATCACCAACAAGCGACGGGCTGGCAAAGGCGGGAAGGAGGAGAGGGTATGACATACTGCTACTCGCAACGCTAGTACTGACCCAACTTCACAGGTCGCCGAGGGCAACATGACAGTAAAACCCATCGTTCACGAAATTCGGATACAAAACCAAGTGATCTTCCTTGATCCGCCAATAGAATATGCACGTGCGACTTGGATAAAGCAATTGCATGACTGGTTGGGTACGTATAGTATGGTGTCTCCAATTGTTCAAATCCTTACTGGTTTCTTGAATAGGCGTTATCTGCCGATTGACACGTATTCAAAGTTCTCGATACGAGATTGGGTTGCAGATGCAGGGCACGCAAGTGTCAGAAACAACATATACTTCTCTGGTACGTATCTCCCACAATATGTTGAGACTACTACATTCTTAGGAGCTCTACCCAGCTCACACGATTCTCCGACAACACTTTAGAGCGACCGTTTTCTCTCATAGAACTCAAAGTTCAAAAGCTCAAAGACTATGTCGCCAAGTGGTTACAGTTCCAGTCGCTGTGGGATCTGGAGGCGGAATATGTCTTCAATCGATTAGGGGACTCCCTCGCGCATTGGCAGCAACTTCTGACTGAGATCAAGAAAACACGGGCGACATTTGACACGTCAGAAACGCAACTGAGTTTCGGTGTCTGTGTCGTCGATTACGAGCAAGTCCAAGCCAGAGTCAACGCCAAATACGACGCGTGGCAACGGGATATTCTCAGTCGTTTCGGTGTGAAGCTCGGAAATGCGATGAAGGAGATGCATGCCTCGATCATGAAGGCGCGAAACGAGCTGGAGCACCATTCGATAGAGGGTTTGGTTGGAGGAGCACGAAGATTTTAAGTTGTGGTACATGCTTTTTTTTGTGATACCCATCCATATCGCGCCGTTCGTTACTTGGACCTCACGCTGTTTCGTTTTTCATGCCCTTCATGTTCTATTGTATCGGTTACACGTAAATTTTTGTAATGGATCCTGAGGCCTTGAAGACAGCCGAGTGATGGCGTCTACGCCTTCCCTGCCACTCCCTTTTTTCTGTAAAAATGATTACCGTATTATGTGATACCATTTCTCTGGGCGACGCCGCCGACGCGCTACTACTCATGGGCGTCTCCTGTTCCCGTTTGTTCCCTCGGCCCGGTTACTAACTAGAGCTGTTCTTTTCCCACCAACCCCGAACCCTTTACGCTGTCTCCTTGCAGTAACGTTCTTGGGATCTTGATTCTAGTATACTTCTGACAGGGTGGACTCGACTGACAGGGTTCACCCTCGCAAGGGTCCAAACTGGTCTCACCAGAGATCTGTATGTATGTAAGTACGGGTAGACCCGCGGTTTATCGCTGACGGGTGTGGTGGGTACTAGTACTCAGGTGTCATGTTAGGGCTTCGGGATGTAACATCATTTTGATCTTCACATCGAGCAACGATCTTGCCTAGCACTGATGCATCTGATCTAAAATTTCAGTAGTCGGTGACTCCAGGGGTCTCCTTCAATTGAAATTCCAGAGTCGTCTTTGCTGGTTCGAGTTCCCGTAACTTAGTAAGTTCTGTTACTTTTCCACCGAAATTGAAGTTGCATCTCATAGCCTTAGGCCCTATATTATCTTCGACTTTGCTTGCGGTGGGAGTGACAGACAGCGTTTACAGTTTCGCATTACAATGCTTGGCGCCTCTAGCGCTTACCAGGCAGTGGCAGGCACTATCTCTGATGAAATTCTGCCTTTGGCTGTGCATGCCCAGTATCGGTTACTAAATTAATACTAATGCCTTATCAAATATTGTATTTAAGTAATGCTTGCAGGTGTATCGCTCCATGGCATTCAGGACTTGCGGGCAAGTACCACGAGGCGCATACTGAATACCGATCTTATCCTGATATGTCTTCCCTATCGATCTCCGACCTGACGAAGTTGCAGACGGTCAAGGTGAGTAAAGGGTGACTTCCCTCCGATAAACACGAGGCTAACATTATGTCTGATTTAGTACGTCAATTGTGAGTGTCCGCCGATCGTCTGAAAACTGGACGGCAGCATTGACTGTTGTTTTTAGTGGGCAGTCTTGCAATCCTCGTGAGTATCAAACGCATTTCTTGTGTTTCTACCTTAAATCTCTTTCGACGTTGCAGGCATTTGATGTTTGCATTACGTTTTCCGAAGAGGTCGAAGAAATATTTGTGTGTTCGCAAGCATTATTCTAACCACTCCCCACAGGTGCGATGGACCTGGTTCAGACCATGGGATGTAATTCGTGTCATATTTGTCATTTCTCGATATTTACCTTTCGCGGGTGTCGGAATGATTGCATATGGCGAGTGACCCACTCTATGTATTGTGTGTTGCTGATGGGCATATCTTAGACGCATTGGGTGTCAGCAATCAGGTAATCTTGGATGGCGAATAATTTCGATGCTAAGCTGATTGCATGAGAAAAGTGTACCTCTCTACTGGAAGGAAATAGTGAGTCGACCTGCCAAACGGTTCATTTTTCATGCAACTTAAACATTGCGGATGTCAGTCATTCATATCACAAGTATGGTTGCTGCGGAATGTGCGCGTTCCACATACATATTAGTAAGAGCGCAATGAATCTCACTTTTTCGGCAGCATTGCTGGTTATTCGGACCTGGGCATTCTGGCAAAAGAGTAAAAGATTGCTGATTGGAATATTGGTCTATGTCGTGGTGCGTGTCTTGCAGGGGAGGGATGATGGTATAGATTTTTATTATTGCATAGTTGTTAATTGCCGCCGACCTTGCTGTAGTAAAACTTAGCTCTACAATGCTAATTCCAGGAGGTGAGTTCATTGGTATTCACGAACGAAAGTGATTCTAACTTGACTATCAGAGGAACCCCCCCTAGGAACTTGTTACTTCGAGAGCACACGCAGTGATGCGGTCGCATACATATTCTTGGCGATGTTCGAAAGCAGTCAGTAATTATACAAAGCTGTCTATTGGCCTTCTTACCTATAACAACATGGCAGTGATACTGACCCTTACTGTATATAAAAGGTTTCACGACTATAAAAACTTTCAGAGCGGAATTGTAGTAACCCTGTACCACGATGACATGTTTTACACGTTGTGCATCCTCGGTGCGTGGACATAGTTTGCTCTCAAGGTATTATTGAGTAACACATTTAAGAAAGCCGTCACACTCGCCAATGTCATCACAGGAGCTGCACTTCCAGTACGCGGCTGGTCTGTTAAATCCTACGATTCGCTTACTTTCTGTCTTTTGTTGCAGAGCGCCTATAGCAATATGTTCGACACGTACGTCACCGGCTGCACTCTAACCGCTAGCTGATCTGGAACCCACCGCACTAGGCTACAGGTGGTCAGTCACAGCGTTCTGGCATCACGAATTCTATTCCGTCTTCGACATAGCAACGAACGTGTCCGCGAACCGTCCACATCAGTAGCGATGATGGAATTTACAGATTATTTACCACCTCCGTCAATGTCGATGAGTGGGACGGCTACTACCAGTCAAGTTTGAAGGAACTTCGGTGTGCGGAACCATCGGCCTCTGTTAAAGTGAGAAACTTCTGCTCTTATCTAATGTACAACTCGATTGTGATATCATGAGCCAATGATACTGCGAGACCTTGGGACTGAGGGGATGAACGAAATGGTGATTCGTTCCCTTGTTTTCTCCGAGCCTGGTTGCGGTGTCTATTCTTATGCGACGTGACGATAACTCTGCATCATGTACTTCCGCAAACCTCGTCTTGAAATCAATAGTGCATGACCTGTCGTTCAACATCACCCCGACCATGAAATCCCAGTTATCCAGCGGCCTTGGAGGATCCAAAGTGAGCTGGGAAGCCCAAGAATAAGGGGGTTTATGGATATCGATCTGTACTAATCGAATGAGCTCGGAAGATCATGTGCGCGGAATGATGTTAGTGCCTGCCTCTGGCAGACAGAAACTAAGGATTTCTCCAGCAGCAATCCGCCCTGCTTCTCCATGATTTCAACCACGGCTTGCAACAGCATGTCAAACCTAGATGCTGTGGCGACTTGGTGCGGAGGATTAACTTTGTGCTGATCGATGACAATGATCTTCTCAGTTCCTGAACGAATGGTGACGAGAGAATCCTACTCATTCATTCATCGCGCTATAGTAAAAAAACAGACTGATAAACGAAAGAACATGATTAACATTGGAATTGTGACGACTAAGATGTCAATTTTTACTTGCGAAGGGGCAGGAAGTGTCCCAGAAGGCCGCTGTAGGTGGGAATGGAAGGCTACTCAGGCTCTCTGAGCTAGGAAAGTACTATAAGCCTAACAAAATCGCTCCCACTAACGTACCCAGGACGAGCTGCATGTTGTCAGAAATGGGCAGCTTAGAAGCTTTACCATAATTCAGAATCGGGAGGAATGCAAAGTCCTGTAGACTATAAGAATGTGATTGAAAGCGCATTCGACTTAAAAGAGTGTTTTTTAAGTATAACTATGGTAGTGTAATGGTGGCACCTGGAGCAGGAGACGGTTTATACACCCACTATAATACACGTTAGGGACGTTGGGTGAACCTTTTTGGGTAGGGATTATCGGTTTCGGATTGGGCGAGGGATTGAAGAGGAAGGAAAAAGAACGTCAAGAATTGAAATACGAAAAAGTAAATGCACCATTCAGGATGCACCGTAAACTCGAACACAGCCGAATTAATTGTCACGGGTCTATTGAACCAACTCGACCAGCCGCTCCCGTCCACCTGCCAATGCGTGAGTGAAACACGCACCTAGCAACGCAACGACCCACATGATACATCAAGCACATATTTGTTCTTCCCAGCCTCCTTGAAGCCCATCCTCCGCGTCCATTCCTACCATTCCTCCACTTCACCTTGACCTGGTTTGCCAGCGAACGCTAGATCCATCATCGGCGATCGCAGGGTTCACGATTGATTTTTTGAAGGTCTGTGTTATGATGCCGCCGGGAGATGAAAAGTGCGTGAGGAGAAACGTCTATAGTTTTTGGGTGCGCGATGGTACGTTTCTGAAGGTGGGAGGAAGGCGGCAGGCGTGCGTCTAGCCACGGATGTAGGGGATGGGTCTTGAGCTTGGAAGTCGAGTGCTGTTTGAGTGAGTGTGAGACGTAGATATAGTAGAGAGGGAGAAAGAGACGTGCACTTATCCTTTGTCCCAGCCTCGACAACCTTGCTTCTCATGTCATGGGTAACGAAGACATTTGAGGGCTATGTTGAACACAGCGGCAACTCGTCTTGTACGCCCTTCATCAACTCTAGCGGTTACTAATGAGTTTTTGTGAACGTCTTCGCTTGCAGGGAGTGATTCGCTTCCAATGTGGAGAGGCCTTGAGGTGGTTGATTTAGCGGGGGTGTAATTGTGTTAGCTCAAGTGGTGCTTGTGTCAACCTTCGTATGGCCGACCGTGGGAACGGGAGGCAAGTGCGGCCTGAGGCCTGCCGCCTAGTGATGTGCCGGCCCGGCTTGGCCTGAAAGCCCCGGCTTTGGCCTGGCCTGGGGCGGCTTGGGCTTTTGAAAATGCCAGGCCGAGCCGTGAGCCAAAGCCAGGCCAAAGCCGCGGCTCGGCTTGGGCCCAGTCACGGCTTTGGAAGTCAAATAGATCAATATTCAATATATTAACCTATCTACTAGGTCTCGTCCATCGATTCATCATCCTCGTCATCTAAGATCAGCGCATCCCAACCCTCCTCGTCGTGGTGGGAGGTGCGCTGGCGGCCCGAATCTGGGGTCATCTCGCGTTTGAAGTCATGCGGGGGTGCTGGGCGGAGAGGTACGGCGGTTCGAGCGTGATGTGGATCGAGATAGAAGAGATTGTCAGCTTGTGAACCCATAAAATAGTACGAGGAAGAGGGGCGCCCGCCGGCGATGCCCACGCTTTGCGGAAAGGTAAAGAGCGCCTTAGATAAACGTCAGATGTTTGCTGAAATCTCAAGCAAGCGCTCTGACCTTGATAGTCTCATAGTAGATAGGATTAACACCGTCAATACCCAGACAGATACCGATAAGTACAAGGACTGCGCGTTCGCCCCAGGTGGCCTTCATATGTCGTCGTGGTGATCCAATATGCACGTTTGATGTGGCGTATATGTCAGACTGATAAATAACACCATCAGTTGCAACGGAGACACCAAGGCCAGCTTCTGCAAAGGCATGTACAAGGGTTCTGCGTGCACAGATTAATGGATTGATTAGAAGTAGAATATGAGGGAAATGAAATGGTCTGCGCAGTCTGCTTCGCGGCCTCTGCAGCCCGGAAATCGTTAATAGCTTTTGTCTGCGATGGGAGCGCTGCCTTCTCGGAATGCTGGAGAAGTGCGGCGGTGGGTTTAGTTTTGCGTGCCGGGCGCACCATGCGAGGCTCGTCGTCGCTGTCTGTGTGAATCACACCAGACATTGGCCAGTAGGTAGGAATGCTAGATAGTTTTGAGTAAGTGGGGAGATGTACTAGCGTAGTTGTGAATGATTTTACCTGACATGAACTACCAACATCACCATCATTGGTCCATCAAGGCGGCAACATATGAGAGCTCACATAGAAGCTACTGAAAACAGCAATGTCAGACACATTTGCGATGCCACTAACACTAAAGTGAGTATCATCAAGCCTTAGAAGCATCACATAGGGCGACTCACTGATCATTCAGACATATATCATGTTATCGTCGTCGTCGAAGCCTAAAAGGATAACAACAGATACAAAAATAAATCTAGAAGATCAAAGGTCAGTGACAAGTCCGCGGAACAATGACTAAGTGGTAAAGCCACGGCCTGGGCCGCCGGCTTGGGCTTTCAAACATCTCAAGCCGGGCCAAAGCCGTTGTCAAGCCGTGAGTTTGGCCCGGCTTGGCTCGGCCTATTTAGGCCCGGCTTGGCCCGGCTCACGGCTTGAAGCCGGGCCATGCACATCACTACTGCCGCCTGCGGTGCATCTATCATTCAAATAGCCTCTTGTCGACAACAGTCTGTCATCGAGGCAGTGATGGGCAGCTCAGACAACTTGAAGTCGCCCCATAATACAGAAGGAACGACTGTCTTCCTTCTCCTTTGCAAGTCTGACTAGCCTTAGGGCCCGGGGAGACAAGGTTTCCACAACTTCAAGTCTTCAACTATACTCATTTCTCACTATCGACCTCTGGGCTATAACAACATTCTTCTACTCTTTCCATTTTCCGAGGCCTTGTTCATGTTATTGCTGTTTAGATGAGAATATTTGCCGCCGGACTCGAGTTCTCAATGGTGTTCTACCATTACCCTGGGTCACATGATGGCTGGGCCAGACAAACTTATTGCAAGCACCGCCACACGGCCATTCTTTGGCAGTAAGCTGAGAAGAAGGTTTTGAATTGTCGGGATATAGAGTCGTCGTGAACTCCCATGACGCTTTGCTGCAGTCCTGATCATGCCGAGGATCGTGCCATTGGAGTTTTTTTGAGCTGATAGTCGTCCTCCACCTTCCTGGCAGTCGAAAGGGACCCCCGGTTTTGTACGAGCACATCAAAATTCTATTATGAAATCATATGTCGAGCCTCCGTTGCCTTTGCTGTCGAGTGGATTTGTCAAGACGAAAATACGAGACGACTATGGCAGCAGAACCACCCAATGGTCGATGATAGGGAGCAATAGAGAGTCCACGGCATCCTGGCTCTTCCTCAGACCAATATAACAAATACAATAATCATACATGCCAACAAGCCTCCTACAAGCAAGCCCTTCGAGTGCTCCATTACCAGGAGTGATGACCACCGCTGACGATAATACTGCGAATTTTACAGTTAGCTTCACTGCTAAGCAAAGAAATACAAGGAAGTCAACGCACTCGCTACCCGTACAGAACGTCGATGCATCAGATGCCAACCACGTCACTACACCGCGCAACTCGTCAGGGCGTCCGAGTCGACCCAGAGGGTTCATACTAGACCAAACATTGAAAAGGTGCGGTTGTTTGTCCAGATACGCTGCAGTCACACTATCACAGCCATCATGATTTAGCATTGCAATGCAATTAATCGCGAGACAAACCTGGTGTGGATATATCCTGGAGACAACGAGTTGACGCGAATCTTCTTTTCGCCAAGCTCGCAAGCCGTGCTACGAGCCATCTGCAGGACAGCTGATTTGGAGCTGTTGTACGATACCCAGGCGTGGCCCTATACAGGGTTAGCATGCAAACATGGCCATAGCAGTTTTTGGGAGATGCGCACCCTGTTAGTGATACTGCCTGACATTGATGCGATAAGAATGATACTGCCACCGCGTCCGAATCGCGACATCTGTCTGCCAGCAGCCTGCGCAGTGAAGAGGACACCACTGGCGTTGACATCCAGGACCTTCACATCGAGGTTGATTTCAAAAACTGTCGACTAGTCAACAATCACCCACCTCTCTGTACTCCTCTGCCGGGTATTCCAGGCAGTCTATGTGTGACCTGAGAATACCAGCCGCAGCGATGCAAAAGTCCATTCTTCCCTCTTTATCACCAATCTCCTCTGTCTTTTTCCAAAGCGCCTGCTGCTCAGTGACGTTCGCGCTGAAATACTCCAGCCGCGAGTTATTCCCTAGCTTCGCTACGTAATCTCTGCTTGCGATCCATTCATCTGATGGCTTTTCTGGAAGATCGAAGCAGTATACGACACGTGCACCAGCCTCGCAACATGCAAGAGCCATCTCCAAGCCAAGGCCCCTATTTCCGTCGGAGACAAGCCCAACGCGGTCGGTTAGCGCGAACTCATCGAAGATCTTGGGCTTTGGTGTGATGGATGGGTCTGCAGCAGCCTCGAGGGCAGCCTCGATACCGAGTTTACCGAGAGGAGACGCAGACTGAGCTGGGAATTGGGAACTATGGGAAAATTCAGCTTCCGTTTCATGCAACATTTCTAGATAGATCGAACGAAATAAACACTTGACACATCTTACCTGGACATGATAGAGGTTCGTCCCAGTAACGTTAGGGAAAACGATCACGCATGAGGGGTCTACACCCAATAAGGCCCGGCCTTCTGTGAGCTCACCTGACCATAATCAAGGCAAGATGCGGCGTATGAATAATGAAATTGGTACTAAATTCTGAATTACTTTGCGACCACATGAGCATGAGGTATTAATTTACGGAACGAAGTGGTCTTTGTACAGCAGATAAAGTGAAATCTAAGAATTGAAGTATCCGCGTTATCTGTGTTTGATCTGATAGTACAATTCTAGGGGATTATGGGCTTCCATTGATGCACTGTTTCCTGCATCTGATATCATATGATGTTGAATCCATAGTGTGGTACTTTACAAGCTAGCGTGCGACATGAAAGACAAATTTCTGCGTGTAGTGTTGTAACTAGAGACAATAGGAGACACAAAGATTCGGAGCAATTGCGCACAGGTGGAGCACGCACGTGGGGTGGACGCGAATTGGTTCCGCGAGATCAAACGCTCCGTGCTTATATATGTTAGATGTTAGGTATACCAACACGTCCTGGGATTTGATAACTTCAATGGTATGTGACGATGTACGTGACAATGCGATGAGAATCGCTTCTTGGACCTGAACCAAGTGGCACCCCGGCTAGGACCCCGAAACTCAAAATTTCAACATCGCGCTCAACAGCGTCAAGGCTGCCAAACGGCGCCTTTGCGCAACCAAACTAACCCATATAGACCGCTCTCTATCTAGATATACATCAATAAACTCCAAAAAACAACTAAAACAAGTATATAACTCAAAAACAGTACTAACATGCCCACAGGAAGGCAAGCCCCCGGAAGCGGAACAGGCCCTCCCAAATCCAATTCCCCGATCCCAAGCAACGGTCCCAATACCCGGAGAACCACCAGAACTAACATATCACTCGAAGAGATCATCGCAACACCCAGCAATGTCATGGACACAGACAGCGCCGAGAAGTTCCTCGCCTCCAAACTGTTATGTCACGAAGGCCAACCATACACGTTGACACACCTTGTCTCCATCCTCTTCCACATCACTCAGATGTCAGCTGTTACCCCGGTACCGGTTACTGCAGCAATTAGGGCTGTTGCCTTCATTCTGAAGAAACAAATTGCTTGCGAAATAGCGGACACGGCTGCTCAACGTCTCGCTGATACCCTCACCAATTCCTTGTCTGAATCAATAACTAATCGCTTAGTTGACCACGCAATAGCAGCCCTCGCGCCTCAAGTAGCGGAGGTACACACCGCCTCACAAGCCCTAGCCAAAACGGCCCAACAAGCGGAAAATACCTTGATCTCGTCACTCGACAAAGCCGAATGCCTACACCGCATTGCAAGAGACGAGAGAACAGAACAAGAGGGTGGAGTTTCCATAGCTGCGGAACGACTGGAGGAGGCGGCAGATGCTTTATACACTTCGGTCGTCGACTGTCAGAACGCCATCAAAGTCCTCACCCCATCGCTAGACGTCATGCAAGACAGAATCAACCATCTCTCCACGCAAATGTTGTCGACCCCACCACCTACGCAAGTCCATACTCCGCCAACATACAGCACAGTGGCAGCAGCGCACCTCCCACCTAAGGTAGACCAAGCAGTAGGCCGGGCGGCTATCAGAGCCCGCCAAATTTTACTCGACCCTAACCCAGGAAAGCCTCCATTCCCTCCCACCGTCACTAACAAAGAGATAGCCACGCGAATGAAGGAAGCATTAGCTAACATCCGCAACGAGGACACCCCGATGGGAGACATAAAGGCGGTAACAGTACTACGTAACGGAGCCATCATCATAGAATTAGATTCAGAACCCTTAGCCTCCTGGCTACGAGACCCCACAGGACGCACCTTATTTGAAGGACAGTTTGATGCCACAGTATCGTTCCGCTTCCGTACATATGCTTTAGTTCTGGAATACTTACCGATTCAGTTACAGCTAGGAGATGAACAATTCCTCCACCGCATTGAAGACGAAAATCAACTACCTACGGACTCCCTAACATCCATCCGTTGGATCAAACCCCCCATTCGCAGGACACAACAACAGCGTAAGGCATTTGCCCTCCTCCAAGTCGCTGACGCACCTACAGCCAACAACATCCTTCGTGACGGTCTATGCATCGACAACGAGCGTGTAACTGTCCGCAAGGACAAAAAGGAACCAATTCGCTGCGCAAAATGCCAACGATATGGCCACATAGCTCGAAATTGCGCAGGAACAGCCGATATTTGTGGCACTTGCGGCGACCAACACCGCACCACCCAATGCAACGCCTTCAGGACGACCCGCTGCGTTAATTGTAGAAGTGACGAGCACACTAGTTGGAGCAGGAAATGCCCGGAATTCCTGAGGAGGTGCGAACTACTCAATGACAAATTCCCGGAGAACAAGATGCCGTACTTCCCGACAGACGCAGCTTGGACACACACCATCGACCCACCGAACCCATCAAAACCCGTCTCTCTTCTTTCCTCTGGACCCAGCCCGCGTGCAAGAGCCACCCAAACACTACGTCAAACCACCCTAAACCTCACTCGTCAGGCCCCCTCCCCTTCCCCCTCTCGCTCTGCCTCAATCAACAACCCCACACTCCATCTCCCGACCGAAAACGAAATTATGAATGATATCTACCCTCCCTTCAACGCGGAATCAGCACAGCCAGCCTCACCCACGTCGTCACCCTCCCCTCCTCTGTCATTTCCGTCATCCTCGTCTCCCTCGTCCCCTTCAACTCCCTCTCCGTCGCCGTCATACACCTCCCAGTCTCTAAACTCGCCCAAACCATCAACATCCATCAACTCCTCCAACAGCACACCCTCCCCATCATCTAACTATGTCTAATCAACGAATCATAAGCAACGTAAGACTTCGCATCTGGCAACAAAATTTGAATACCTCCCTAACGGCGCAAGCCTCACTGCTCAATGACCGAGCCATGGCCGACTGGGACGTTATTGTCATCCAAGAACCATACATTAACTTTTTACGTAATACTCACACTAACCCCCATTGGCACGTCATTTATCCCACTCAGCACTTCACCCACTCCCAGCAACGCACCAGGTCCATCACACTCATCAACGCCAAACTGGACACCAACTCGTGGAAGCAAATTCCGTTCCCATCTTCCGACATAGTGGCCATCCAGCTGTCCGGACACTACGGTCGCTGCACGATATTTAATATCTACAACGACGGCACTCACCAGAACACACTAACCACTTTTGATTCCTTTTTAGAAGCTAATATCGAGTCACTTAGAACCAATGAGCACGATCACATGCTCTGGCTTGGGGACTTCAACCGACACCATCCCCTGTGGGAAGATATCCGCAATCGCCACTTATTTAACTATACTGCCGCTAATCCCTTAATAGACCTCATAGCCGACCACAGCATGCTTCAATTCCTCCCGCAGGGCACCCCCACCTTACAGTCCACCAGCACCGGTAACTGGACCCGGCCGGATAACGTTTTCGGAACGGAATCCCTAATTGACGCCATCGTCTCATGCGAAACTGCCCCGGAACTACGAGGACCAAGGACTGACCACGTGCCCATTCTACTAACCTTAGACTTAGAAACTCCTCGCGCCCAAACCGATCCACACCGCAACTGGCGGGAGGTAGACTGGCAGAAGTTCAATGAGCGCCTCAAAGGACTCATATCGACTAACCCAGCTCAACCTTTAGCGTCAGAGGTCGAGTTTCAGAATGCCGCTCAACACCTCACCCAATCCATCGTATCTACCATGGAAGCATGCGTACCGTACTCGAAACCTTGCCCACACTCCAAAAGATGGTGGACAAAATGTCTCTCAGACCTCAAAACTCGCGTCAAGAACCTCAGCAAAGTATCATATCAAATGCGCGGGATCCCACTTCATCCCAGCCACGAGGAACTCAAGGCTGCCAAGGATCTTTACGCAAACGAAATCACGGCAACGAAGAAGCAGCATTGGTTGGACTGGCTAGAGGATATTGAAGGTAATGATCTTTGGACTGCTAATAAGTACATATCTTCAGAACCCCGGGACGGTGGCAAGACCCGGGTACCCTCGCTAATCACTTCAAGACCGGACGGCACCAACTCCGAAGCGTCCACCAACCAGGAGAAAAGCGAGATACTGGCTAAGTTGTTCTTTCCTCCTCCCCCTGTAGCTGACCCCACCTCCATAGATATTATATACCCGACCCCCGTAGAACGACTCCCCCCCATCACCAAGGACCAAATCAAACGAGCCATCAACAACCTCAGCGGCTACAAAGCCCCGGGGCCGGATGGGATATGTAATATAGTGTTTAAGGAATGCTCCGACACCCTCATACCGTACTTACTCTTTCTTTTCAACGCAGCCTTCTCATATCGCACATACTTTCAACCTTGGAGAGAATTCTCCACCATCGTCCTCCGTAAGCCAGGCAAGTGTCATATCCCGCGTTCCGGACCCGGACCTATCACACTCATCATTTCCGGATTTCCGGATCCGGCCGACTTCTATGTATCGTCCGGATCCGACCCACGTCTAACTTCCGCGCCTTATCCCTTTGGTATTTCCCTTATCAGTTAGTACGCTTTATTTTCCGTTCCTCATTCATCTCCGTCTTCATTTTACTAAGTTCCGATAGACTAGTGATAGTCGTACCATATGTTTTCTTCATAGCTTTACATAGCTTCGCACTGCACTTACTATTCTCTGTTATGTCCTCAGTAGTATATAAACCCCTGTACAATCTCTGTAGTTTCCTCAGTTCGAATATCATATTAGACTCTGCTCATTCTCTCCTCCGTCCGACTTGAGTTTCTCTCTCGTCGACCTCCGCTCGTCTTAGGATCGACTCCTATAGACTTGACACCTCCGCCTCTACCTCTGGTAGTCCTCCGCTGTTTCCTTTCTAGTTCGGACTTCGTCCGGATTAGTCTTATCTCTTGTTTCCGAACGTCCGCCGGAATTCCCGCGCATCGGACATCGGACTCCGGACATCGCCCGACGCCCTCCGGACATCGTCCGGTAACCTTCGGACATCGTTCAACAACCCTCGGAAGTTAGGGGCACGTACTCGGGTAAGGGGCGCAGCGCACGAGCTGAAGCCAAGCCCTTCGGATCCGACCTTTGAGCACGTTCTTAACAGTATATTCGAACTCACACCTTACCGAGTATACTTACATCTGACTTCATGGCACCTACACGGGCGCAGACCGCTCTCAATGCAGCGGGTGTAGTAACCGCCCGACGCGACTCTACTCCCATAGTCGATGCCTTCCTCAGTTTCTCACAGCGTCGCGCTAGTGCGCAAGGCGCTGCCTCCAGTATCTCACAACTCATGAATCGCCCACATCCGTCTACCCCCACCCCCACACCCGCCGGAAATCTTCCGCACAATGATTCCGACGATGAACTTGCCCTAGGCGGTAACCCGCCAGGAGGAGGTGGCGGAGATCCGGATGATGAACCTCCGGAAGACCCGACTGACGATGAAAACGAAGGTCTAGGTCCACAAGACTTGGTCTTCCTCCGGCTATCCCAAGCCATCAATAACCTGGCGCGTAACAACCGCCAATCCTCCGGATCCGGTGATCCCAAAGTCAAAGTCCGAGAACCGGATACCTTCGATGGCACTGAGCCCCGGAAACTCCGGGTGTTCTTTGTCCAATGTGAGCTTAACTTCCAAGCTAAGCCGAAATCTTTCTGTACCGGCCGAACTAAGGTCAACTTCGCGCAATCATACCTCAAGGGCATGGCCCTTGAATGGTTTGAGCCGGACCTCCTTTCGGATGATCTAACGGATCGTCCGGACTGGATGGACGACTACTCCGAGTTCATGTTAGAACTCCAAACTAACTTCGGACCTCATGACCCGGTCGGAGATGCGGAAATGCAGCTGGAACAGCTCTATATGCGCGACGGACAGCGCATCAACAAGTACGTTGTAGAGTTCCAGCGGCTAGCTTCCCAAGTCCGAGGTTGGGGCGACGGAGCTTTGCGCCGTCAGTTCTACAACGGACTTCCGGCTCGCATCAAGGATGAAATCAGTCGTCAAGGAAAACCCACCACTCTGTCCCAATACAAAACTCTCGCCCAGACTATTGACGCTCGATACTGGGAACGCAAGGGAGAAGTCTCCCGCGAAACCAAACCCTCCGCATCCGCGCCTCCCGCTAAGCAGTCAGCTTCCACTTCCGACCGGAAAGAGTACTCCGGCGGAAAATCCGGAAACACTTCGGCTTCCTCCTCCGCCAAACTTCCGGACTTGACGTCCAAGCTCGGAAAAGACGGCAAACTCACCTCCGAGGAACGCCAGAGGCGCATGGAGAAGAAGCTCTGCCTCTTCTGTGGCGGACCCGGTCACACTGCCAGGGACTGCCTAAAGTCCACTTCCCGTGCGGCCAAAGGTCGTGCTAGCACGGTGACTCCGGAAGCCAAACCGGAGGTCTCGGAAGAGACAAAAAATTAGTCCGCAACCCTCCTGACTCCGCGCGGGACGAGGGTTGCGTTGACTCAACCCGTGCAATGGAGCTACGCCTCAATGCTATTTCCTTTTCCGATCCGAACTCTCTAGTACCATCCGTCTCTATTTCTACTTTTCCCGATATTTCTCCGTTCCCGGCTCTAGTAGATTGTGGTTCCTCCCATTGTTTTATAGAAAGCAAGCTAATCCGAGAAAATAACATTCCGACCTATGCAATTCCTCCGCTTCCGCTCCATCTGTTTGATGGTACTTCTAATGCCACTATTACTGAGGCAGTAGATTTACCGATCCGGTTTCCGACCGGCGTGGTTACCTCCGAAACATTTTATGTTACTCCGCTGGACTCATCCTGTTCCATCGTTCTAGGATATAGCTGGCTCACCCGACACAATCCGTTGATTGACTGGGTAAAGGGCAGCATCGATTTCCGTCCGATTCCTCATGGAGTGCCTCCGACCCCTCCGACCTCTTTTCCGCCGGCTCTGGCGGAAATCCCTTCCTCAACCTCGCCGAGTCCCTCCGCTGATAATGCCGGTCCTAATATTTCCCTAATCAATGCAGTTGCCTTTTGCCGGGCCTGTAAATTAGAGGGATCGGTCCAGTTCAGTATTTTTGTTCGTCCGTCCGGTGTCAATCTCCGCTCCGCTACACTCTCCTCCGAACCTCCGAACCTATCCGGAATTCCTTCGGAATATCACGAGTATGCGGATGTCTTTGATAAGGGCAAAGCCGGACAGCTCCCTCCCCATCGTCCATATGATCTAAAGATCGAATTGGAAGAAGGAGCGGCTCCGCCCCTCGGCACCATCTATTCCCTTTCCCCGGTTGAGCTTGTAGCTCTTCGCAAATTCCTTGATGAGAATATTGCGACCGGACTTCTTCGTTCCTCATCCTCTCCGCACGGAGCCCCTGTCCTATTCGTCAAAAAGAAGGACGGCTCCCTACGCCTCTGTGTAGATTTCCGAGGACTCAATAAAATCACAAAGAAAGACCGCTACCCGCTTCCCCTCATTTCCGACCTTCTCGATTCTCCGAGCCGCGCTAAAGTTTACACTAAAATCGACCTCCGGTCCGCATACCATCTAGTCTGGATGGCGGAAGGAGACGAGTGGAAAACTGCTTTCCGAACGCGCTACGGCTCGTATGAATGGTTGGTTATGCCGGAGGGTCTCACCAATGCTCCGGCGGCTTTCCAGCGCTTTGTCAACACCATCTTCGCCGATATGCTTGACATATGTGTCATTGTGTATCTTGACGACATCCTCATTTATTCCGCAGACCTTGCATCTCACAAACAACACGTCCTTGAAGTTCTCCGACGCCTCCGGAAGCATCGGCTATATGCTAAACCGGAGAAGTGCGAATTCCATTCCGACTCCGTAGAATACCTCGGTTACCTCCTATCTCCGGCCGGACTTACAATGTCCTCCGACAAAGTCCAGACTATCTGCGACTGGCCGGAACCTCGGAAAGTCAAGGATATTCAATCGTTCCTCGGATTCACCAATTTCTATCGTCGCTTCATTTTTAACTACTCGGATATTGTAGTTCCGCTTACACGGCTCACTCGCAAGGATGCTCCCTGGAATTTCTCCGAGGATTGCCGGAAATCTTTCGAAACTCTCAAAAAGGCCTTCACCACGGCTCCGGTGCTTACGCACTGGATGCCGGATGTTCCTATCGTTGTTGAGACGGATGCTTCTGATTATGCCATCGCCGG